AGCAAATGTCTGTCCCTGCAGTCAGGAAATCAGAGTTTTAACTCCTATTGCTCAATTCTTTTTCTTGCATCATCACCTGTTCTAAGTCTGATTTTGAACCACTAAATCCTTGACACCTTCCAGTTACAGCCTGGATTGCTGCAGTGAAATGGGAATCAGAAGGAGCAGAAATGGAGACCCAGAATTTACTGCTTATTCTGAAAATTGTGACGGTTTGTTCCCAACAGCACTTTGGCCAATAGGGCTTTTACTCTCAGGAAGCAGGCCCAATGCTTAGCTTGATTTAACCCCAGGGAATTTTAGGCAAATTATGCTTTTTTTTTTGGCTATGTCTTCTGAGGACACAATTACTTCACCACCAACACTGGCTCAGCACATTCAGCAGAAAATTTGACATGAACAAACATTTGATTCCTATGTGGATCACAGTAGAGAGTCTATACTGATTTTTAAATACACACACCATTTCAGTGTTGCCTGACAATTCCATTTAACCATATAGTTAACCAAAGGTCTTTGAGGAGATCTGAACCAGTGTACTGGGGTCTATGCCATAATGCTGCTTTGTGTCACAAAGCCTCAATTTACAGCATCACAAAATCATGGTTTCCCTTAAAGGTCAATCACTTCTCAGGTGATTTTCCCAGGCAAAACCAGCAGCTTTTGTTTCCCAGACCAAGACAGGCTGTGATTTAGCTCCGAATTAAGGCAGTTAGTATCTATGCTATAGAATAGTATAGAATTTATAGCTGCACACATCCTGTGACAACAGAAAGTTAGTAGTCCCCCTTATTCTGTGAATGGCTTCTAGCAATAAACCTAGCAGTAAGAAAGAAAATATTCCATGAGCTGCTTTAAGGCACAATTGTTTCATTCACCAAGGGTAAGGCCAATTCACACCTACTAACTACTCTCCTAGCAGGTGAGCTGCACTCCAGGCCAGAAGGGGAGAAGTGGCCTAGGTGTGAAATACTTTTGCACAAAGCCTTTGAAATGCACCCTCTGTATGTGGCAATGTTCTCCGGGTACTCCACCTCTGTTACGGATAAGTTGCACCGTCCTTTGGGATGAACCAGGGGTGAGGCTGCCTCTGAATATGAATGCATGTGCCCATGGGAGTATCTAAGAAAGAACCCACATGTATACACGCATTTGCATGTGTGATCTGAAAGGGACTGGTAATAAGTCTGGAGGGGTCGATATCTGAGGGAAAGCCCTGGAATTTATAATAGGTATCCAGTCTCCTCTCTCTTTCCAGAAGACAAGCTCCAGGGCTATGAAGAAATACTATCCTCTATGGGTCTTGCAAGTATTTGCCCCATTTCCTACACGGAGAACAGGCACCACAGTAACAGCCAAGGCAGTCTGGAAAGAATTCCAAAGAACTCCGAGCATTCCTAACTGAATGCCTCATACGGAGCAGTATTTTCAAGCCTGCAGAGCAGATAGAATAGAGTAAAGGCTTTTCAGCAGAGGTTTTTTCAGTGCTGTACACCACTGTGCTCAAGCTTCCTCAGGGCAGGTACATTTACCTTATCTCCCCTCCGCACAAAGGAAACCATCCCAGACCGATTTCCCCAAGTCCATTCCTTCTGCCTTACTTCCCTCAGGACATGCCCAACATCCCCTCCTCCTACTTCAGTGCCAAGAAGCATCTTCTCGCCACCTATACCTCGTGAAGGGAGTGCCACGGAAATCCCTTGAAACAAACCTTTCTACAAACGGGAGACCACAGAAGTCTGATGTCTGGTGAATTTGTGCTCTTTACTGTTAGTTCTCTCCCACAACATGGTCAGACCCCACTGCCATCCCATCACACTGCAGTGCTGTCAGAGCCAGGTTTAGTGCACTCCCCACATTAAGGAACAGTGTGACTGCACATACCTCACATGCCTGGACCACTTTAGTTCCAAACTCAGACCAAACTCTTTATCATGGGGCTGGGCATAGTTCTACATATTTACTATGGGGTTGGATTCTCTTCCAAGTCATTGCCTGATTCTTTCTGTCTGAGCTGACCCAGGCAGTCTGTGTCCCTCAGCGAGGCTTGGACAGGAAGACAAGGGAGAGATTATGCAAGGCTCTTGGTTCATCAATGTACAGTCCTTCCTCGAGTTCCAGTCTCTGTGGTGTGATACTCTTGATGGCATCCTGCATATAAAAACCGCAGGAATTCCTGTTTGTTTCTGCCCTCTACAAGGAAAGCTCTTCAGGGCCAGATGTCCTCCTTGTTGGTCTTGGTATGGTGTATCATAGCAGGGTTTGCTACCTTACTTTCTCTTGCTGCTGTTGGGGTGTAACATGATATAACAACACTCAGTTTGTCACACCAATCCTTCTTCAGACTGGCCATGCTGAAGACTACTCCTACTCCCTCCAAAACCTTAGCTGTTGCTGTCTGGTACATCATCTAAACATATAATGTCCTGATTTAATCAAGACTCTGAAGTGTAGCATTTCTGATTTTGGACTTCTAACTTATTTTAATTAATGAACAAGAAAATGCACCTTTATTCTAAACCAAACCAAACCAAAAACAACAGCAAAAGAGGAGTCTACTTGTGCTTGTTATTCTAATTACAAGTTGTGGTATAGTGTAAATTTTTTCCCTTGGCATTGTTATGAACCTCATTTCCTTACAAAGACCAGGATAAACAATTCCAATATATTTTGTTTTAATTATCAGGGTTTAATGGGGCATAATGAGACTATGTTGAGTGGTGCAGAAAAAAATAATTTAATGTGTGCAAAACTACTGAGTGCTCCTAGCTTGCCTGTGCATATTTCACCTATTGTAGGGCAGCACTATGTTAGCTAAATATTCAGTGTGCCCATCATTAATTTATTAATCATGCTTCCTTTTCAATAGGAAAAAAAAATCTTTTTTTTTTCCTGGCATCTAAAACAAGAAGAAACACATCAAGATATCTTAGAAAAAAAAATGGACAATTCTCTGGGTTGAGCAGTGAAGGATGCAGATGATACACAGCTGATGGTGCTGGAAGCATTTGTCATGCACAGGCAGAAGATGAGTATGTTGGACACAGAACCTGCCTCTGCCAGTCTGTTCCAAATGCTGCCCTTCTCCCAGTGTTATCTGGCAGTGAAAACTTCTGGCTTCAGTTCTTCGGGCCTCTACCAAAAGAAGCATAGATAACATCAGCTGAAGTCACCATTCAGAAATGACCTTCTAGGACTCTCCCTGGAGTTAGATTTTCCCACTCCCAAGGTGTGGTTCCTACTGATTTACAACACCACAGGTACTTCTGCAGTGAAAAGGGAAAGGTGCAAAACAGCAGCCTGGGAAATAAACCAGTAAAAAGAGAGCCTTTATGACCCTTTATGCTTTCCAAGGTCCCTTTGCCAATGGCACTGAATCCCATGTCCGGGTGTGGCTGATGCTTCACTCAGATCCACCCTGCTACTAGATTTACATTCCACTTTATCAGGGCAAACATATACCAAGAGCAAAATGCTTTTGCTTTGGGAATAATTACTGGATCTTCCCTGAAGGGAAATGCATTTATTCTGCTTGTCCATTATACTCTCTACATGGAGTGAGAGCACTTGATACAGTACCCACTTCAGTGGGTATATCCTCTCTTCTGGAAAAGTATTTGATTCATGACTCTAGGGAGGAGGCTGAAAAACAACATACAAAACAGACCAATGTTACATTTCTTTGAAAATTAACATTTTATATTACAGATTAAGTTAATATACTCCAAGTGTTTGTGTTTTAAATAATATAAATTTATTACAGACATCAGTATTTACAAAAAGAAAAACATTACATAAATATTTTTTTTTGTGTCTCATTGAAGTAAAAAAATTCTCCATGAAGTTTCTGCCCATGTCATGTTCTGTGAGAGGTCAGCCTCCTTCAAGGATGGAGACAACAAACCTAACCAGGCTTGATACAACTCAGTGAGTTGATTGAGGAACTGCAACAGGCTGGTTACCTGTATGAAATTGTAGCAAGACTGAAAGACCTCAGGACACTCCTTCCAAGCCTGTGTCCTATTCTTCAAGGAAGAATGGAAGGGAATCAGTAAGTACGTTCCAACTAACTTGCCTCAGACACAGGACCAGGACAGCATCCAGCATGTTCTCATGGACCTCCAAAGATGAATGTTTCTTTCTTCCTTCTAAACTATGAAGATTCTGATCCATGAGGATAGGATCCCATTGTACAGATACAGTGCAAATACACAGAGGCAATCTCTGGTGCTATGCAGCCTAACAGCCACAGCAGACGACGGTGGAAGAAAATGATTTTACAGAGAGAGGGACTGGTTGACCCTTCATCATTCAGAGATACAGCCCTGAGTTGGAAGTCAAGTTTACTGATTCCCAGACAAATACTGACCTATTTGTCCCCTCAGACTGGCTAGCAAGTCCCATAGGGACTTAAAGCAGGTTTCTGCATTTGGTAGAGCTGCATAAAGCACAGGGCAAGAAATGCACTTCCTGGTAATGATCTGCAGGTGGTAGAGACCTCAGAGCAGCTCTGGGCAAACACCCTGAAAGCTCCATGTAGGAATGCACATCCCCACTGGATCATGCAGCCAAAACTGAATAAGGTTTGGCTTATGTTACCTTGGTGTTACCAAGACACTTGCACCCCATCCTGGATTGAGGCAGGATACCACACCTGTTAAATGACAGGAAATTCTGAGCCTCAATATACAGAACAAGACCTTAATTTGAACCTAAATGTGTCAATTCCTTCACACAGCAAGTTCCTGATTTTAATGGTTTCCTCCAGTGTTCAGGGAGTCCAAGAGCTCTCCATGGAGGTCCTGAACTCCACAGCTCTTCAAAAGCAATCGTTAACCACCTCTCCACACAGCCATGGCGAGAAGCAAAGGATCTGAAGCACAGATGAGTTTCTGGCTCTTCTTTCCTGCACACTGAAACTCCATCTCCTTTGGTATCTACAGTGGCAAATGGGGAGCTGAATCCAGGTGCACACCAAATGCAGACAATAAAAGGTCCTGCTAATGACAACCACAGGTTGTTGCCACCATGTCTTTATAATTTTTAAGGACCACATTCTCTTTGTCATCAAAGTAGAGAAGATTGAGGGACTTCAATTCATTTGGCACACAGCAGGGTGTGCTGACATCTTGAGAGAGTTTCAGTGTATGGACAATGGACTGAACTGTAGCATGGTTTGTCGCATTTAGACTTTCCCCCAAAGGGAAGAGACAGGATCCCCTGCAATAAAATGCATTGTATCCACTTGGGTAAATAATCCATCCTGACCAGCCAATGGCACGGAAGTCAACATAGAGTTCCTTTCGATGACACGCTGTTCCCTGGCTTTTGGCAGCTCGAGGTCTCCTGTTCCTGCTTGCACTGCTGCTTTCCATGACATCAGTTTCATGAGGCATGTGTGAAGCATCATTTTTGGCAGTGTTTGCTTCTGATTCTGAAAGGAAGTTGTGTGTTAATATTTCACAAACAAAATTAATTTACTAAATACAGTATTCTGCATGAAAGTCTAGTCCATAAATCTACATCAGAGTCCATTGTGAAATGACACTTAACTTGTGCAAGTACCAGAAGGGATGTGTAATCACATGAATTGTGTATCCAATTGCCAGTTCAGCCTTATTTCCAAACTACCAAATCTTGTGTTTCACTTTGTGTGCTGAAAGACCCCAATTCAGCAGAAAGTAAAAACCCAATGATCCACCAAATACAGGCTGTAAACTGCACAGTCCCTTTTCTGGTCAGAATGGTATTAATGGTCTTTACATGACCACTGTTACAACATACATCATGCTGAGCAGTGCTAACAGAGGGTGCAGATCACAGCCTTTTTCTCTCCGGTGTTCTGCCAGTAAGTACCCATATGCTTGCAAAGCAGAGTGTACTCCTGCAAAGTAACATTCTAAAAAATACATTTTCCAATTTTTTGGTCTGAAAAGGTTACCACCAGGTTTACACAACTCTGCTAAAGAACAAAGCTTACTGACAACAGGATGCTTTCTTAGAGTATTGTCTGAGAAGCCCTGATAAATGTCCATAGAAGTACACATAAAGAGGCTGAAACACACTGATAAAGAGGCTGGTAGAAGAAAATCTGTGCATGGTCACTGACCACAAAACCCAGACAGTTCTAGGGAGTTTCTTCATGGAGAAATCGGTATCAGTTTCTCAGTCCTGGCACAGAATATGCAGAGCTTGATGCTCATTAAATTTGAATCTAGGATTTCACTATTAATTTTTCTTTGGAAAACAAAAATAAACAGGCCAGCCTCATTTTTTATTTTTAATCAATTTCACTACCTACTTCTTAACACTGGTGTAAGTCCTACCTAGCTTCTTTCCAATATGCAAACACAATCGTTTGCCAGAAAAGCCTGCAAACCCAGAAGAGTGTGATTTTTGCCCCTCCTCCCAGCTTTCGCTCCTTGCAGTTAACAGGCCCTAAAATTCAGCCTTAGTTGGTTTTACTGGAAGACCACAGGGAGAGGTTAAGACATTTGCTTGTAATTTAAGGCATGAGGGCGTGGTCTTTGATGAAAGCAGCCTTTAGTTACAATGCTAATTTGTTACTGAGGTTAACCAGGTGCTTAAAAACCAAGCCAAGGACAGAGAGGTTCAAATTGCTTATTTAGCAGCCTCTTTCAGTCTTGAAAATTGGCACTTATTAACTCTACTTACAGATACTTTACCAGCATTTTCAGGAAGTTTTTCAGGTCACTGAGTTTTTTCAGTCTAAACCTAATACACAATTTTCATGCAAACTTCACCACCGAAAAAATAAAATAAATAACAGTTAAAATAAATGGAATTTCCACCCCTTTACAAACAAAAGTAATCCAGATTCCCCATAGGATTTATGAATATGTCCTGCAAACCCAGTTTTTCTGAGGCAAAAGGCAACTTAAGATGCTGGGTGACCTGCTAGCATCAACTATCAAATCAAACTCTGACAAAGCTGAACTTCAAAACCGTCCAACACTGCAAGTTAATAACTGAGGTTAGGTATACATGAGGTAACAGAAGATGAACAGGCAGTTCATATTCTAAAACTCAAGCGAACTTACTTGTGGATGAGGGTACAAAGCTGGAAGATCCCCGTTTGTTACTGTTAGTGAAGAGGACAAGGAGAGCATTTCTACTCTCCTGCGAAGTGCCCTGGCTCTTGGCAAACTTAACCAGGTTGTGTTCAGTTCTGTTGTTGAACACATGTGTTGTAGTTATCAAAAAACCATGGTTAGAGCTGCTGTTTCTAACCCACTTGGAAACCTGATGATGACAAGGAAATGAAAAAATATTGTTTCAATATTCTTATTACAGCATTATGATTAAGCAATGTTTATATTAGGAAAAGGGAACAGGCAACAAGCTATGAGAGCACGAGGATGTATATTATGACTGAAGTGAGATAACTGTATAGCTGAGACTCAATTGAGTTTAATATTTAAACCAGTAATTCAACACTTAAAAATACAAAATAGCACATGCATTCCCCGAAGCTACATTTACAGAAAGATAATTAATTTCAGAGAATATACCAATGAATCTATGAGTCTAGAAGTTAATATTAAAATAAACCCTTTCTGACTTTAGCTAGAAATCTATTTTTCATAGCAACCTCAACAGAATAATATGAGCTCTCCAGACTTTCCATACTATTAAGACTCATTTCAATCCAACAAACGTGGCATTTGAAGAAATTAACTTGCAATCATGCAAATTTACTTATCTAATTGTTATAATTACACATTAATAGATAAGGCCAGACCATTCTCAAGCAGGCATATCATGACTTAAGATGCAACTCCGCCAGTCATCCAAGCAGCTGTTCAGTCTGATCATAAAGCTTAGGCAATGAAAAACACTGTCCCAGAATACAGTTTTAAACCCAAGAAACTTTGTGTTTTAAACCACATCTGGTTGGGGTTTTTTTGCTATGGAAAGGCATTCACCTACTGTAATAATTTATGGATATCTGCAAAACAAATGCTGAAGTTAACACATAAAGAAGTCTACAGGAGAAGTTAAACGAAAAGCAATCCAACCATGACAAATTCCAAGAATACAACGTTAAAGCATACTACTCTGTAGAAATGTCACCAGAATAAAAAGAAGAAATTAAAACCTACTCTTAGTACACAACCAATGCCAAGTCCTTCCGCAGTCTAAGGACTAATATATTTTAATCACAATGACATACTTGGCCTGATGTCCCTCCATCTACTAGGTTTGGGTTACTCAATTCACACCATGCCTGTGCTGCTAGCAGTATATAAACACTTCTTTAATTTAGGTAACATCAGGTGAACTTTTAAGAGTAGAGAGAAAGTTTCTCCCTCTACTGCTTGTCCTTTAGTTTGAATTGACCACAAAACCCAGCATAATGGCAATGCTGGATTTAGAAGCTGACTGTCACCTTAAGAGATTTAGAAACGGAATGAAGTCAGAGTTCTCTGCTTACTGTCTGAGTGACGTTGAAGACTTCCCAGCCTTCTGTGTACATAGACAATAACCTTGATGCAATGAGATGGTTTTTTTGTGGCTTACTTCCACTCTCCAAGAGCTCATACACTTCCACCTTCATAAGAACAATACAAAAAAAAGTAAGTAATTAAACCGATTGGTCTTCCAGCAAAACAAGGAAGATGAAGAATATGCACATTTCTGCCACATCATAGCTGTAAAACTGTACCATCATCCTAAATAAGGCAAAAAGTAGGTTTTGGGCAGTTTAATACAAAAACATACATCTACTTCTAGATGTGTTCAGAGCCAGGATACCAGACTGATACTCTAGAAAAATATACTGACTATCCCTGCTCTTTCTATTTTGAACGCTTGATACCATGAAAGTCTTTCGTTCCTTCACATTTTCAGGTTTGTAAAAAGTCCAACTCTACCCTTTGCCAGCTACACTCAATGTCAGAACCCTTACCCACCCTGTTTTCCTATGAACCCACGTTTGCTATTGTTATTTTTCAGAGCAGCTCGAGGAGATAAATTTCGATTCGAATTCCAAAACATCTCAAACCCCAGAAAAGTATGGTATGGTTTGGAACAGGTCTGACATTGGCGTCTTTAGGGAAAGCTCACTGCCATAGCACAAAGGACAGCATACCGACAAAGTCAAAACCTTGCGTTACACTTCTTTGCACGCTGGAGGCAAAGAAGTGAGGGCAACAATCAAATAGACATAAAAGTAACTCAGGTTTATATGGTACGCAGTTGCACGTCTCATTTTCAGTGTCAACGACAGCACGATTAAGTGTTTAACTGAGAAATCACTTCCCCACTTACTCTGCAGAAGTGTTTCACGTCGGACCCTCTAGACCAATGTGTCCTCTTCAGTTTGAAGACCCTGAACTCGGCTTTCAGCAGCTGCTCGCCCTTCTCCATCGGGCCGACGTCGAAGTAGAAGTGGTGCTGGTCCACGTGCACTGGAACAGACCGTTCTTTAGCAGCAGCTCCGCACGGCGCAGCCCGAGCGGGCGGGCACGGCAGCTCTGCCGCGGGGACTGC